CTATCATTAATAGAAGTTAGATTTACCAGAAAGTTATCATGCTAGAGCAGTGTTTCTCAACCTTGGCCACTTAAGGTGTGTGGACTTCAACTCCCAGAATTCCTCAGACTTGTTGCTATCTTAGATGCCATCTTAGGATGCAGTAACAGGAATATAATAGCAAATCATAGAAAATCATTTTTCCATTTTTAAAATAGCTTACCATTGAAGGCTGGTCTAGGACTATAATAAAGGCAGTTTTGATTTGGACTTATCATTTGGCCTGGAAGGCAGAATCAAGAAAATGACCAGTGCCTCCTCACAACCATACATTATCATCCCATCAATAATTCTGAGGCACAGAGGAGCCATTATTTAAATCTTCAACCATATCATGGTACTGTACTTTAATTTTGATTTTGGCACTGCTCAATTCTGAACAACTCTAGGAAGCTCACAACGTAGGATATGGTACAGAGTCTCCAGTTTCCAAACTAGCATTTTTGGTTTACTTGTTCCTGAAAAATGGCTAGTAAATAAGGACCCAAGATGCACTATAATAGGCTTCCCTTCCCTTTTCCCGTTTAATTCTGTTTGATTTTGGATGCTATACTGCCACCCAATGGATAGTTTCTGTTTCTCTCAACTATCCTTAGCCCACACATATACACAAATGCCGTATTTTAAAAATAAATTTACAATGCTTATCAGAAGGGTTCCCTTCTCTTGAAGGAAGCAGATCTCCAATCTCTGCCTTCAGTTTTCAGCTGCCACTGAAGTTCTGCAATCATTTTTTAAAATGAGGAGGGCTGTCTTAGTCTACTGTGGAAAAAAATCAGGAACCTGGTAGCACTTTTTTGACTAATATGTTTTATTAAAATTCACCAGCTTTCATGAATTGCAGTTGCAACTCATAAAAGCTGATGCCTTTTAATAACATGCATTAGTTGAAAAGGTGCTACAAATGTCTTTTTTTCACATAAAAAAGTCACAGACAGGATTGTGTTCAAATTAAAACAATAGCAAAGCAAGTTGTGGGATCTTACCAGTGGTGGGATTCAACATTTTTTACTACTGGTTCTGTGGGCGTGGCTTGGTGGGCATGGTGTGGCTTGGTGGGCATGGCAGGGGAAGGATACTGCAAAATCCCCATTCCCTCCCCACTCCTGGGGGAAGGATATTGCAAAATCCCATTCCCTCCCTACCCCAGTAACCTGCTTTCCAGCTCCGTTCTCTTGTACAGGGCAACAAAAGAAGACCCAGCCAGTCAGCTGGGACTCGGGAGGCAGAGAATAGATGGAGGCAGGGCCAGTCAGAGGTGGGATTTGCTGGTTCTCCAAACTACTCAAAATTTCCACTACTGGTTCTCCAGAACTGGCCAGAACCTGCTGAATACCACCTCTGGATCTTATTAGCAGATTGGTAATATGCATCTACAGCTTACGAATGTAATTGAGCCTGGCAGCTGTAAGTTGTGATGCTTGTCAAGTGAGTCACCATGTGATCAAACGTGATTTTACAACTTTTTTCACTGCAGATATTAAGCAGATATGACAGTTGTAAAGCAAATGTCATGGTCATTAATTAGAATAGAACTGGAAGGGACCTTTGAGGTCTTCTAGTCCAACCCCCTGCTTAAGCAGGAGACCCTATACCCGTGATGGTGAACCTATGGCACGCATGCCACAGGTGGCACGCAGAGCCATTTGTGCTGGCACGCGAGCTGCAGGCAAAATTACCTGCAGCATACATGTGCCTCACAGCTGATTTTCAGCTGCTTTGAGGCCTTTTTCAGCCTGAAAGGAACGCTTCTGCAGGCCGAAAACTAGCCCCGTTTCATCACTTCCTGTTTTTCCGAAAATATCGGAAATGATGAAACAGGGCTAGTTTTCAGCCTGCAAAGCCTGCAGAAGCCTTCCTCAAGACTTTGGGAGGCCGAAAAAGACCTCAAACTGGCCAAAAATCAGCTGTGAGGTGCAGTGCAGGTAAGGGGGCGGTGGGGATTGGGATTGCGTACGCATGTGTAGGGGGTATGGGGAAGCGCGCATTGCCTTCTGGGTGCTGGCACATGAGCATGAGCGTGCAAGCGTGCGCACAATTTTTGGCACAGGGGCCCAAAAAGGTTAGCCACCACTGCCCTATACCATTCCAGACAAGAGGTTGTCCAGTCTTTTCTTAAAAGCCTCTAGGGATGAAGCCCCTACAACATCTGAAGGCAAGCTGTTTCACTGCTTCATTGTTCTCACTGTTAGGAAGTTTCTCCTTAATTCTCCGTGATTAATTTCCATCATTTCTTGTCCTGCCTTCTGGTACTTTGGAAAATCAATCAACTCCATTTGTGGCAGCCTATCAAATACTGGAATACTGCTACCCTTCCCCCCCCCCCCCCCCCCCCCCCCCC